CATCGAAGCTAAAAAAAAAAAAAAAAACACATCATGGTAAAATTAATACCTTCTCAGCTTCGCATCGAAGCTAAAAAAAAACACATCATAGTAAAATTAATTCGCATCGAAGCTAAAATCAACTTATTATAAAAATCAAGAGGATATGCGTGTTTTGAAAAAAAAAATTTTAATAGTGTAAATAGTTTTAATGATGTTGGGTTCATTATATTTATTTTTAATTAATTAGCCATTACTAATTAATTATAATTTGATTTATTTGATTAACTTAAATATGCATTTTTTATTAAAAGTAAATACTTACAATTTCTGTGTTTGCAGACATGAGGTTCTGTTGGTTTGCTGGGAGATCCAGGACCTGCTTTATTTACTGCTCTTACTCTGAACTGATAAACCATTTTCTCCTTAAGCCCTTCAATTTTAATTTCTGGATTATTATCAATTGTTTTTGCTACTTCATTCCAGTCTGTTGAAAACTTGTCTTTCATTTCAACAACATAATGTATGATTGGTCGTCCACCGTCAGATTCAGGTTTCTTCCATTTTAATGACACGCTTTTGTTGTCATAATCAATTATTTCTGGTTTACCAGGCTCACCGGGCTCATCTACAATATAAATAAATAAATAATATGATTCAAATTTTTTTATTAAGTTCAATATTATACCGTATGGATTTTTAGCAATTATAGATTCTGAAGTTTCAAGCGGTTCTGATTCGCCTTCTTTATTTATGGCCTTTACTCTGATTTTATATTTTTTCTTCGGTGTTAAATTAGTAACTTTAAACTCTTCTTTACCTGGACCAGTCTTAAGTAAAATAATAATAAAACATAATAATTATTCGTTTTAACTAAATCAATAATTTAAAAAAAATATATATAAATAATTAACTTAGAATACAATGACAAATGTCGAATTTATATATATTTTTATACAGTTGTGAAAAAGATATCTAGGATTATTTTTTTATTCACAACATTTTTAGATAAGATTATATAATAGAATTTTTCTTGATATTTTGAACTTATTGTAGACTTTTTCTTTGAAATGATTATTACAATACTAACGTTAAAATTACTGTTTTCATTACTATGTCTATTTTTTCATAAAATAATTATTCTTTCAAGAAAATTTAACCAATGAATTTTTTAAATTTTTATCTGCTATAATAAAATTTAATAAATTAAATTGAATGTTAAATTTATTGAATGAAAAAATAATATCTAGAAAAAGTTAATCTTAGAGGAATAAAAAACTAAAATTATTTGTATACAATTAAACATAAAATGATAAAAAAAAAAATAACATCTTGGTAAGATAAATTTAAGCTCAGCTTAATTTAATTAAACTTTAATAAAAAAAATTGAGGTATCACTAATTCCCGAAATATTGGTCCAAAAGTTTTTATCAACTAGTAATTTTCTCAAATAGATCATTTTCTATTAAATAAACTAATTAATTATGTGTGTTGTCCTTCAAAAAATTAAAGTTGATATCCTTTTAAAGTATAAGGGATGAACCTAAAATTTTTTGTGAATGATACATTGTAAAAAACATTAAACTAAAAGAAACCAATAAAAAAATGATAACTATAATTTTTGTTTTTCGTTTAATTAAGTAATTTATAATAAGTGAATGATTCTGTAAAGTGTTATAAAAACAAAATAAGAATAATATAATGAAATAGATATATTCGTTAATATTATGAAGAATCCTTATTATTTTTTCCATTGGGTATGTATTTAAATACAAATAATATTAGAATATATACATTAGGGTGGATCAAAAAAGTCGATCTTCAAAATTTTAATGAGAACCATTTTAACTTTATTTTATACATTAAAATAGACATTTTGTGAAAATTTGAGATTTTTAAAAAAATTTTATTGGGGACTCAACGTGTTTTTAGTATTTTTACCAAAAATACTCCAAAAAAACAAAAAACGGCCTCTGTTATTCAATTTTTGGTAAAATATTATAAATAGTATATCAAAATAGTTTGATTTTTACTGTAAAGTACAATTTTTTTAGTTTCAAAATTTTAAGTCTAAAATTGATAGTGTGGATATCATAATTACCGTCAATGTAATGTGCTTTATTATAAAATATTTTCATAACTTTATTATGACATTAAATATAATATTAATATTATAAGAATATTTCAATAACATTATTTTTTAAGAAATAAAGGTATATTTCTAGTAGGTCTCAAGTAAGCTTAAAATTTTTTTTAATTTTCTTTTTTTATGCACTTTGGCTGATATATATGTATATTATAAATAGAAAAAAAATTCTTTACTAACCTTAAAAACTTATACTTTTTTTGCAATTAATACATAAGCTAAAATATACGATATTCTTGAATATATAATTAAATGACAATTATCTTTACATATTTTTCAAATATATTTTTTTTATTAATCATAATAAAATAAAAAAGTATGTTTCATTTTTTTAATAACATTAAAACTGTCTTCTAAGTATGATTATAAGAGTTTTAAGATATTAAGAATTTTGTTTGTTATTCATTGGAAAACCGTACAAAAAAACCCAGCACAGGGGGGTCGTGGCACAGTGGTGACGTGGCATAGTTGGATCAAGTATAATGATATCTGACAGTGATTAAAATCACTATCATAAAAAACGATAAAAATACTTTTTTTTTATAGATGCTTGGTGTATTTTTTTTGTAAATCTGACACTTAACCTGCCCACAGGGAGGGATTCAAAATAACAACTTTTTCACAAAAAATTAACTTTTTCAACTTAACTTTTGATAATGTTCCGCAAAGTCTGACACTTTTATATATATATTAAAATAAAGCTTATGTAATATACTTTATCATGGAAAAAAAAATTTCGGACTTTATTTTGTCTTCACGGTGAAAATGGCTACCAAATGCTATTATTGTGTGAAAATTCTCAATTTTATTTTTTACATTTTTAACTTTATAAAGCTATAACTTATTGAAAAGTGTATTGATCAATATAATTTTTTTATAGGAAATACTATTTTATAATAATTCCTTTTTCATTCGACATTCTTTATCTTAATCAGGATATTAATAAGGAACTAGCAGTTTATGAAGCTTTTGGAATAATCCACCAATTTTTAAAAATTAAACACTATTTAAAGATTTGCATCGTTTTTTATGATAGTGATTTTAATCACTGTCAGATATCATTATACTTGATCCAACTATGCCACGTCACCACTGTGCCACGACCCCCCTGTGCTGGGTTTTTTTGAACGGTTTTCCAATGAATAACAAACAAAATTCTTAATATCTTAAAACTCTTATAATCATACTTAGAAGACAGTTTTAATGTTATTAAAAAAATGAAACATACTTTTTTATTTTATTATGATTAATAAAAAAAATATATTTGAAAAATATGTAAAGATAATTGTCATTTAATTATATATTCAAGAATATCGTATATTTTAGCTTATGTATTAATTGCAAAAAAAGTATAAGTTTTTAAGGTTAGTAAAGAATTTTTTTTCTATTTATAATATACATATATATCAGCCAAACTGCATAAAAAAAGAAAATTAAAAAAAAATTTAAGCTTACTTGAGACCTACTAGAAATATACCATATATTGACGGTAACTTTGATATCCACACTATCAATTTTAGACTTAAAATTTTGAAACTAAAAAAATTGTATTTTACAGTAAAAATTAAACTATTTTGATTTACTATTTATGATATTTGACCAAAAATTGAATAATAAAGGCCGCGTTTTGTTTATTGGGGTATTTTTGGTCAAAATACTAAAAATCGTTGAGCCACCAGTAAAAATTTTTATAAAAATTTTAGAAGATCGACATTTTTTGATCCATCCTAATATACATGTATGAGAAATAATATAGATATTTAATAGAATTTTTTTAGGAAAATCAATTAGAAGTCTAATAATAATTTAAATCATGGATAATTTTTATAAGGAAACTTCTAATTATAAGAGATCATATTCTTAATTAACATGAGAGATAAATTAATTTAGGTTTTTATTATTACCTCTCCGGCATTAACCCAACGACCAGTCTCCATGTCCATTTTTTCAATTATATAGCTAGTTATTTCAGAACCACCATTATCTGATGGCTTTTGCCAGGATATTGTAATGTGGTCGGCTCTAACTTCTTCAGCTTTTAAGGGACCCATAGGGCGCATCGGTTTGTCTAAATTAAATTTTAATTATTAATTTTTCAAAAAAAGTTAATATTGTTATATTTAATCATATTACCTAAAACAATTACTTCAGCAGTCCGTTCAGCAGTTCCAGAACTGTTTTTCAATATTAATTTATATTTTCCACTATCTATTCTAACAGCTCTTCTAACTGTTAGCAGTGTGCTGCGTTCGAATTTTTCAATTGTTATTCTTCAATAAAAATCGGAAGTTAATAAAACTAAAGATAAAAAGTACTATAATAAAATAAAATTACTCACCTGTCACCATCGTGTTTAATTTCACTATCGTTTATTTGCCAAATGACTTCTGGTTCAGGTTCTCCTCCATACTTAATATCATATTTGATTACTTGTCCTTTCTTTACAATTATGTTCTTTAAATCATCTCCAATAATCCATGGTTTAACTACATTAATGATGTAATGAATATAAGAATTTTTTAAAAGTAAACTATTAAAAAAAATTTTACCAAATCGTGATTTTGCAATGATTGGTTTTGTTGTATTACTGGGTTCGCCTGGACCAGCTTTGTTAATAGCTCGAACTCGGAATTCATATTGGGTGTTTTCTTTTAAACCGTCAATTGTAGCCGATGTAATGTCACCTTCAAACGTCTTTCCTTTTACCCAATCTTTTCCGAATTTTTCCTATAATATAAAATAATAATTTAATAAAATAAAAATTTTGTTTATTAAATTATTTTACCTTGTACTCTATAATATATCCTGTAATGGGTGCACCACCATCGTTATCAGGTTTAGTCCATGTCAGATCAGCGTGATCTTTGTCCCAATCAGTTACTTCTACATTGTTTGGTTTACCGGGCTCATCTAAGAAACAATAACGTAATCATAATAAATTTATTTAAATGCTTAATGATATAATATTTTACCCCAAGGATCTTTAGCTAAAACAGTTTTGGCCAAAGGCGTAGGTTCAGATGCTCCAATTTTTGAAATTGCTTTAACACGGAATTTGTATTCTTTTTTAACTGTCAAATCACTTACATTTAAGTTTAAAGGTGAATCAGCCTTGACTTCAGTAACATTATGCCATCCACCTAAATTATACAAAGTACGAGTTTAAAAATTAAAAATACAATTTTTTATGTATTTGTTTTATACCTTTTACAGATAAATCTTGTCTTTCAACGACATAATGAGTGATAGGTGAACCACCATTATCTTCTGAAGGTTGCCATTTAAGCTTGCAACTATTTTTCATTATGTCTGATACCTCCAAATTTATAGGTGGTGAGGGGACATCTAAAAAAAATTAAAACTAAAATCATATGGAAATTTAAATAGACAGTTTATTTTTAATTGATTTACCTTGCATATTAATGTTAACATCTTGAATAGCCTCTCCTTGATTATTTTGAAGTTTAATTTGGTATTTTCCAGATAACGCATGGGAAGGCTTTTTCAAATTATAAATAATTTTATCTTCATGAACTATAATTTCAACATCTTTAGGAGATACAGGTTTGTCGTTTTTCAAGAGCTTTGCGTCAATATTTGACTGTCTTGTTCCATTTACTAAAATAGGTTATAAAAATTTACTCCACTATGTTATTGAAATAATTTTTTTGTTTTTACCTTTGTAAGGAACTTCAAATACTAACGGCCGCGTTGCTGGTCCCTCTACATTTTCGTCAAATAATATAATTGGTTTTTCTTCTCCTTTTTTTACATCTAATAGACATATGGAAGTAAGTTCACCTGACTTACACATTATCTCACCAGCATCCTTCATTTCCAGTTTGTTAAAAATAAGTTGATGTTTACCACCACCAAGATTTTTAATTTCAATTCTAGAAAATAAAAAAGGATATAAAAAATAACATTTTTTTTAGAAATTTATCTAATAGATAATATAGATACTATCTATATTAAAATATGGAGACTTTTAGACTAACCTATCTGAGGGTACAATGGGTTTGTCATCGAAAAACCATTCAGCTGGAGCTGTCTGGTCTTGTAATTCTATTTCCAACACACACTTATCCCTTTCAATACCAGTTGTATCTTTCAGCTTTTTATTGAATTTGTTAAGATCTATAATTAAAGACATACTATAGTAGAAAAAATAATAAAAGATCGAAAAGATATAGATAATTTTTTCTTACAATTAACAACAAGTTCTGCTTCAGTTTTATCGGCATTTGATGTACAAGTGTACATACCAGCATCACTAACCTTGGCTTCATTAATTATTAATTTTCTTTTTCTGCCTTCTTTTACAATTCGTATCCTATTAATTAGTATAATAAACATATTAATTATTATAAATTGGTAAAATTTTATATGATTATATAAGTTTTATAACATATTAAAATAATACCTTTTGTCAGCTTTAAGATCCTGGCCATTTTTAGACCACTTTACATCACCAGCTGCATCATCCAACTCGCATATTAACGTTATTGAATCTTTTTCTGTTGCTTGTTGATGCTTCAGCTGTTTAACGAATTTGTACGGGTAATCTAATAAATCGAATAAATCATCTTTAAATGATCTAAAAGTTTTACATCTTTTATAGTACTTACCAACTATTTTAGCCATAGTTGATGTTTTGTCGTCTTGTTTTTCAATACGACAATAGTATTTTCCACTATCAGCCAGTTCGCAGTTTTTTATTGTCAAACGGCAATTACCACTCATATCTTTAGATATATTATACTTTTCTCCGTCAGTTAATTTGGTTTTTTCTTTATACCATCCAACAATAGCCATACTACTGCTAACTGTGCATTCCATTATTGTTTCGTGACGTGTGTAACCATCAGTGGTTGAATTTAATGGTCGAATAAATGTATACACCGGAGCAGGTTCTATTAAAATGTTTGTTTATTACGAAAATATATAAAATTTGTGTAGAAAATAAAGAATTTTTTATAATAATTTTATAAAAATACCGTGAAAAAATCTACAATTTGACAATGAATATTTAACTTTTACTTTGACATACCTTCAACATTTAGATACGCTGAAGAGCTAACTCCTGCGATTTCAATTGTGTATTTGCCAGTGTCTTCAACTTTTGGTCCCAATATCGTCATTTGGTATACATCTCCTTCGTTTTTAAATTTATACTTAGATCCAATAAATATTTCCTGAAAATATTTAGTGTTTATATCCATTAATAAAAAGTTTTTATCAAAAAATTTTGTTTTTAAAAATTGAAGGGACACAACTTACATCTTTGCGAATGAACCACCTAGGCTTGCAGTTAGTTTTAGAAAATACAGCTTCAAATGTAACTTTTTTGTCTTTTCCTTCTTTAGCATATTGATCAACTAAAGGTTTCAAAAACGATTCTTGTTTCTAAAAAAAATATATTACGAATTATAATGATTTTTTCACTCTTACTTCTTTATTACTAAAAAGCTTACCCTTTCAACTTTTTTTAACGCTGGTACTGGAATTTCTGTTTCTTTTAGTTCACCCCAATCAGGATCTCCTTTATCTTTATCCCATTTAGCATACTTCCTCTTTTTTAGCATAGCTCTAAAGTCCATACCACTTGAGTCTATATAAAGTATAAAGTTGGTAAAAAAATATTGTGCACCTATTTTAGCTTCAATGCGAAGCTGATTAATTTACTATGATGTGTTTTTTTTTGATTATTTTAATACCTGACACATATAGCTGCATTTCTGCTGTATCCGATCCGTGTGGGTTAGTCACGGTAACTGTGTATTTTCCTTCATCATTGGGTTTTATTTTACGCATACAAAGCGTTATGGTATTTGTTTCACCATCAGTAAGGAATTTAAACCGTCCACCTTCAATAATTTCAGTAATACCCTAAATAAGTTTAAATTAGTTTTTAGTTAGAATTCCTGTCCAACAGTTTGATATAAATGTAGTTTAAATTAATATATTATATCAAAAAAAGATTAATTGTACCTTATAAAACTTGAAAGTTGGTGCCGGCGTACCTTCTACTTGCACGGTTATATACCCCGTTTGATCTTCAATAGCAGAGTAACTTTCAGCAGCATCAACAATAATTGGTGGTCCAACAGGCCCTACATCTTTTAGCGGTGTCGATGGCTGGTTAATCTTGTCTTCAAGTTCTGCAATACTAGGACGCCGCATTTCTGTACTAGGACGGCGACGCTAAAATAATTCAAATAATCTATTATATAAAATGTAAGTATTATTTTTTTGATATACACCAAACTTAATTTCATAATTTTACTCACTGCGTTCAAATTATAAGCTTAATATGTTCAAAGCAAATAAAATATAGTAACTCTAACTATTAAAAATAATACTACTGAAATTCTAATATATACAATTATTAATAGTTTTGTGAAGATTCAAATGATATACATAAAATAATAATTAAATACTTAGTAAATTTACAATATAAATTATAATTCAATTAAATGCATAAATGTATTGTAAGCTTATATTATTTTTACAATTATAAGCGTATTAATAGTATACATGCAATTGTAGAATATAGATTTTCGATATAAATTACAAACTAATTATTATGATTTTGACATACTAAAGTAAATCTAAGAGGAAGTTAATAGGAAGAAATTAAATTTTATTATAATAAAATGCATATTTACATAACATGTACACTAAAGTTAATAATAATTACCTTAAAAAATAAATATAATATCTAAGGAAATATAAAAAGTGTATTAGGTATTTTATAGTAGCTTTAGTACTAGAGTATTTACAAATGGATCTATACTAAATCTAGTACAAAATTATAAACAATTTTTTTCAGTTAATATAAATAATTTAATGTTTAGTACATAGTTTGAAACAAGGATGTTCGCAGAAATGTTTTAAGAGTCGACCAAATATTTGAAGGGATCTGAAATCAGCCAGGGAATGGCGCTTTTTTGTAGGCCTCATCGTAGTATAAAAAAATATGTATGTTGTCATATATATATAATTTTTTTTAAGGCAGGGAAAAACTAAAATTAATATCCTGAAATTATTATTCTAATAGGTAGCATTGGGCCGGACAAAAAAGATGCTATAAATAAAAGTTTTTTTGTTAGTTTTATGTATTATTTATAAAATTGAAAATTTTTATAAATATAATAAATAAATAACAAGTCTACATGTCAAGTATAAATCTATAAGAAACACAACGCTCTTAATCCTAATTCTTTGTATTACTTAATAATTAATAATTTCTTATTTTTAATTAAAAAACGTTATTTTGCAAAATTGTATAATATACGACTCTTCACCTCCAGCCATTACTTTAAATTGTTTATAACTTCTGAGGTTTAATTTATATGTCCATATTTAAAAAAAAATTATAATATTATAAGAATGTGTGACTACTTAAATATAATCGTTTCAATTTTGTTGATGTGAAATGAGCGCTTCTAGTCTTAAAAATTCTATTTCGCATACATATTTTAATATATTTTTAACTTATTAATCATAAAGTTGTCAAGAATATTATCAAAAATAAAAATTGTCAAAAAATTTTTGTTTAATGATTTTAGTATCGTTAGTTATATATTTTATAAGAGTCAATCACATAACATACAGTATAAATTGTAATAGACGAACATAAAATTTACAACCATTCACAATAATAGACCACAATGTATAAAAAATAAATAAAATTTGACGAAACATTAAACAAAAAGGTAAAAACAATAACAATATCAGACAATAACATAGCACATAGAACATTCACAACTGTGACAAGGAAACACTATGAATGAGCCCTCACCTTTTCATCAATAACCTGACCAGGACGCAATTTTCCAACCTGCATAAAAATAATTTGTGTTGAAAGCACGTTAATTATGTGGCGGTTTGCTGAAAAGATCTTGGGGAGACGACACAAAGACAAAAACACAAATGATTTTTGGAATGTCAATAAATGGGAAATCAGTTAAGTCAATGACATTGCCATTATGATTAAATAATATTATTGTTACTGATATTTTTGACATTGTCAATAACACCCACGATGAATAATGCTAAAACAGCCGATATGGCGCCAAACTATTGTTACGTTTCAGTTTTATTAATAAATATCATCAAAGAGACGAAATGCATATAAACAAATCGAATTTCAACACCCTCACCTTTTTGTCTTCCAGGACCTCTCCAGGCCTCAATTTTCTATTTTCCTAAAATTAGACAATTAAAATGTATTCCACGAATCCGAAATTGTTTCTCTTCAATTATTAAGAACGAAAAAAAAGTAATTATTTATTGATGACACATTATAACAACTTGTACTGTTCATAAATAAATATTAATATTTTCATATATTAATTATTTGGTGCAATTATGTTTGATGAATATTTTATCTAAGCGCGTAAATACATATATTTTAAGTAATCTAACTATTGAAATTAAAATTATTTGACCATTGAATACAGTCTGAAAATGTAACTAGTAGAGATCAATGCTGCTATAGATTTTGATTACGAAGATTCAGTTTCTTAAATTAAATTACTTATTGTTAAATTAAGTATTATAAGTGAAAAGCAATTAAAAGTGAAAACTATAATATGGCAATGCTCTTCATCTACTGAGCTCTAAGGATATTAAAACAAATCGGAATAGAAAACTATTTAAAGTAAAGAACATATAAGATATAGCAAGGTAGAAGTTGAAATAAAAAAATAAAGAATAGTAATCTTTAAGAATCACCTAATCTAGGTGATACGATCTATGGATACAACTTACTTCATCACTGATAATTAAACTAGGACGTCTTCCTAATTCTTCAGGTGGAGGTATTAAAGAACCACGTCGACCAGCTGGTCCGGAATTTAATCCCAATGAGCTCTTGCGGGAATCGGCAGGAGACTTATCTCTCATAACTTCGATTTTGGGTGTTTCCGGAGTTTTTATTTCTGGTACACGACCATGCTACATTAAAAACAAATATTATTACTAAGACATTTATTGTATACTTAATGGACAGTACGTGCATATGAACAAGATTGGTTGGTTAAAATTTTTGGGAAAATGGATTTATGGTAAGTTACATTAACGGGAAAGTGGAAAATGTGCCATTTACATACCTGAGTTGTATGTATAATTGTTTTCTTTTTAACTTTACTAAAGAAATAACTGCTGAATGATTTTTAGAAAAATAGTTCGAAAAATATCTGTAAGAAAGTTTTTTATTTTATCTTACTCTTTTTTTTGGTGAGTCACTTGGAGCATCTAGAGTTATGCTTGGTTGTTCGTACATTGAATTTTCATCTTCAGACATAACAGAATAGTCAGCAATACTTACATCCTAAAAATATAAAATATGTTCGATAGTTATTAAAATTTAATATAAAATACGTAATTTATTTATTACCGGTGTACGATCATCTATAGATTTATCCATTATAGTATCATCAAATGAATCCTGTGGAGTATTCAGTCTTGTTCCCTGCAAACAAACAATATTTTTAAGTAAAGATTTGAATTCCATGTGCTAATTAAAAAAACATTTCATTAAAATGAGGCCCACTAAGGTTTTATAGATATGATAATATTATTTAGTGATGAGTTCATTAGGGGTATATAAGGGAGTTTTTTCTAGTCGGGGTAATAGTATGTGTTTAGCGTTCATATTAGTAACATTATTTTTGAAATACGTTTCCGCGGTTTCTCAGTAATTTTTTGTGTCTTTTTGAAATTAAAATTTTTTATATTTTTTAGTTTCTAAATTAATAATATTTTTAATATAGTTTTATTTTATTTAAAGTTTTATAAGTTTATTATTTTTTTTTTTGGTGCGGTATTATTTCTGTAATGGTTATTCCAATATTATTTACAAATATTATGTAATCCAAAATTTTTAATTTCTATTAGTACGCTTACATTAGTTATTGATGCACGCATTTTTTTCTCAAGCTGAACGGGTTCAATATTTTCTTTTGGTATTGATACTTTTTTCTGCAATAGAAAATTAATTAGAACTGCTTTATAAAATGTAAAATTAAATTTGATCGCACGTTTTTAATGATATGGCTAAAACAATTTACTATTTATCATAATTAAATAGAAATAAAAAATATATATTTTAAATGATAAGAAATATCATGATGATTCCTTTTCAAGTTTTTTATTCACTTACGTATACAATAGAAGATATTTGTCGTCTTTTTGTTTATTTACTGTCTGAACTGGGGACTATTAATTAGATATCAGTCTAATATTTAACTACAATGTTATATAAATGTACTACTCAAACTACAAAAACTCTAACTACGTTGACTTAAAAATATGTTTTATGCTAACTAACTAGTACAAGTTAGAATATACTATTGTTGATATATTATACTTACTACTCTTTCTACTGGACGAAGATTTACCAAATCTCTATGACTTTTGAAAGGTTTTATATCAGTGTTGACTATTTTCTAAATACATTACAAAAGTGTTAAATCTACTTATTATCACACAATCTATCTAATACCTATATTACTTTCATGCAAGTAATCATTGTAGTTAAATAATAAATTGCACAAATTAAACAAAATAACTACTTTACAACAACATTTTCATTAGAAATACTTACATTTTTTATTAATGGTTGACGGTTTATTTCCTCGGTTTCATCTTTTTCTACAGCTGAGTTAAATACTGTACTTTTCTACATTTAATTAATATTTTATCAATAAATAATTAATGATAAAGCATCAAATATTAAAAAAATAACTTATTTAAGGGATTAATACAATTTTTTAATTGAACGCTGTAAAAATATTAATTCAAGCTATAATATCGAATTTCTGTGCGTTTTTGCCACTAATAATATAAAATTATAGAAAATTTTTTAAATATTTTTTTTAATATACTTACTTTAGTTAGTGGTTGTTTTTTGATTTCAGGTTTATTAGTATCAACTGAACCTAGTGCTGAGTCACTGGTTTTCTAAAAATAAAAGTAAGATACTAACTACCTGGTAATTTAGAATTTTGTATTAACTAATATTCATACTTTTCCTAAAGGCCTTTGATTACTTTTCGACTCATTATCGTCAATAGATTCCAGAGTATTGCTGGATTTCTAAATTAAAATGTGGAAATAATAGCATAAGTTTATCTAAAATGTTAATTTAATTTTAACTTACGTTAAGGGAGGGTTTTTGCTTAATTTCCGATTCATTGTCGTCGTTATTCAATATTTCATTAGATTTCTAAGAAAACGTCAAATACATGCTATAAACTACGAAAAATATTTTGTAAGTTTTTAACTTACTTTTACGAATGGTTGACTTTTAGTATCTGTTTTTTTGTTGTCAAATGAATCCAATGTATTATTGATTTTCTAAAGATACATGCAATCTATAGATCTACTGATTACATTTAATAAAGAATTAACTACTTACTGTATCTGACAATCGTCTTTTGTTGTCAGGTTTATTATCTTCAACTATTTCTAGAATATTATTAGTTTTCTACAAACATAAAAATACTATATAAAAGTACACTACTTTGTTATAATATGGAGACAGGGTACAAAAATAACATTTTATACTTATTGAATTGCTTTTTTAAGAAATTGCTTTATATTTAAAAATGGTTTAACCCTACCATTTGATTAATAATCTTATTACCTATATCATAACTATTGCTTAAATAACACATTAAACTATAAATAATTTTAATTGAAAAAAAATTGTCCCCAACTCTGGATCAATTGTAACATATATCGAATCAAAATGTAACACATATCATAATTAGACTTCAATGATAAAAAATAAAGTTCCATCTCCATATGTTTATTTAAATTTCACAGCTCATCTAAGAGCATTAATGTACTCAGTTAGAGATAAAAAAAAACGTTCATTCGTCAAAATAAATATTTTTTGATTTGTTGAATAACGAAACACAATAAATTCAAACTGATAACAAAAGGTGGTGACCATAACTATGGGATATATGCGAACTATTTAATTTTATATTCTACAAGCAAATCATAATTTAACTTACCTTTACTGATGTTCGGCGTCCAAAAAGTGGTTTGTCTTCGTCTTCTTGATCTAATGTAGTATTAGGTTTCTAAATACACACGTGTAATTTCTTTACTACTGCATCCAAAGAACAATATTTACAAAATCGGTTTGACTTGGTATACTTACATTGTCTGATGGGCGTCTTCTTGATACTGGAACGTCATCTTCAACTTTTTTCGTAGTGTCAGTAGTTGTCTAAAGATATATGCGAACTATTTAATTTTATATTCTAAGGGCTATTAAAAAGTGTTAATCTACCTTAACTAAACTTCGTCGTTTGTACTCTGGTTTATTATCTTCATCAGTTGATAAGTTTTCACCTGGTTTCTAATTATATACAGACAAACTGTTTACCAGTATACTTAATACTATATAAATTATAAACTATACAACTTACATTTGGTCGACATGTTATTTCTGTTTTTTGGTCTTCATTTATATTTACTGTTTCAATAGTCTTCTAAATGTTAAAAAAGTGTTAGTTTTACTTTTATTTATGGGTAAACTGTTATCTTACATTAACCGATGAGAGCTGTTTAGTATCTGCTTTATTTTCATCAATAGAGTCTAGCGTATCGCTTGGTTTCTAAATACATATATATCGTAAAATTAAATAATATTGTAATGATAAATGAGACTCATAAGCTAAAGGGACCAAAGTGACAAAAAATTGATTCCAAGATTATTGATTTTTAAAGTTGAGAAAAACTTTTCTATATTTTGTGTAACATAAGTTTGATTTTTACGCTGTGTCAGATTGGCAACCCGGATGTCGGGCAGTCCGCTTTTCTTAAATAAAGTTGTTTCTCTCTCCTTTAATATAGTTGGTATAAATAGCACATAATTAAAAAAAACATTGAAATATTTAATTTAATTTAAAGAGTGATTATTTTACTTTTAGCTCCGATTTTAATCACTCTCAGATATCAATATACTTGACCCAACTATGCCACATCCCCACTGTGCTGCGACCCCACTTTGCTTGGTTTTTAAGTTTTTATTTTTAAAATTGACTTTTTTTTCAAATATCACTTTGATTTATTCACCTCTGAGTGTCTCATATGTTATCTTACAATATTACATGATAGAACTCTTTTTTTTTTTTTTACCTTCACCGATGGACGTCGTTTTGATTCTAAGCTGCCTTCAATATTTTCAAGAGTATCAGTAGTCTTCTGAACAATTACATGCAAATATATACACTACACATTATATATACTAATTATTTTCGTTAAACTTACTTTTACAGATGACCGACGTTTAACAGTTGGATTTTCATCATCGACCTTTCCTAATGCATCAGTGGTTTTCTAATATTAAATAAATAAAAATTATTATATTTTAATCACTATTTTAAACCATATATTGTGTGATATAATAAAGATACTTCCCCTCAATTTTTCATGAAAATTTTATTTATTTTTTTGAACCATATTTAATATTAAGTTTATTGAAAGAAAATTATTTCTAAATGTAGATTTTACGGGTAAATTTCGAAATTTAAATGAGAAAGTATTAGTATTATTTTTTTACTATTAAATGGGGAAAGTTGTATATAAAGTGTTAACTTTTCTATAACCAGTTTTATATACATGTTTATAATATTTTTTGAGTTAATATAATTCTTAGTTATAGGTGAGGGAAGTATGTAACACAGAAGAATTCATAACTGTGTGTTATGGTAAAAAACAACGTGTTTCTAAACTACGTGTCTACTTCACTCCTCAACTTTTCTATATCTTTAAATGCTTATATATCAAAAAGTACTAATACAAAAACAGTTATCGACTAGTCATATTGTTTTTTAGACCATTCTTAATTTAATAGTTAAAACATTAGTAGGTTCTTATTTAACTATCAAAAGTTGTCCTTAAAATCTACCCTTAGAAATTATTTTTTTTTACAATAACTTGATGTTTACTATGGTTTATAAAAATAAGTCTAATTTTAATCTCTACATTTCATCAAAAAATCATTATTTAACCAAAATAATGGGCGGGGGGGGGTAGTATCCTCAATAATTTGTACTATATATTTATAATTTTGAACGTTCAAGTATATTAAATTAAATACGCACTTTTACTGAGGGTCTTTTCTTAGCTTCTGGCTTACTTGTTTCTATAGTTTCCGTAGTCTTACTATTAGTCTAAATACATATACAAATAACTATAAACTACTAAAACTAAATAATATGTACAGTAGAATTATGTAGTATTTACAGCTTAACCTACTTTTATAGAACTTTTTCTTTTTAATGGCGTTTCCTGAATACTTGTATCAGGAGAAGAAGAGTAACCATTATTATCATCCACATTTTTCTAAAGATAGCAATCAGAGGAATAAATAGAAAAGGCAAAATTAATATTTACATCATAACTTACATTTGTTCTAGGTTTCTCATAGGCATTTTCATCTACTTCCATAGCATCTTCGTGATTATTTATATTATTTTTGTTAGAAGTTTTCTAAATTATTGTAAAACAAATGGTAAAAATGAAGATGGAAACGTAATAGATTAAGATTTATTTTAAGTTTAAAGATTTTTAATATTTTTTATAAAATTTTAAGTGTAAAAGAGTTATGAAATCATAAAATTAATGAAGACTATTAAAAATGTATTTCGAAAATATTTTAGACTATTTTACTTATTCAATTAATCTATAAAAATGGGTTCATATTATTTTGTATATAATAGTAAATAGTCTAACACGTACCTTTGTAAATGAAGACCTACGAGATTCCGGTACTATCTCCTCCTCCGTTTCTATTGTTTCAGTTTCGGTTTTTTTCTAAAATTTACAAGGAAAGCACAGAAATTATGTATCTACAACGTACTTTTTACTGTGGGCCATTAATATAAATGGAAAAATATATACAATTACAAGTTTATTTTTACATTGATTCCTCACTTACTTTAAGTACGGATGACCGACGGAATCCTGGGATTATTTCTTCTTCATTCGATGCTTCACTATCGTAGTCTATTTTTTTCTAAATTCACATAAGCATAGCACAAACACAAAATATATTTACAATGTGCTCTATATACTAATCAAAATTCCTACTTTACTTATTTTTTAAACATAAATATAAAATAATGGAATCAATCAAATCGCAATGATAATTTAACTATACATACTTTTATGATCTTCTTCTTTTCTCCAGTTTTACTATCAGTTGTATCTTTGGTTGTTTTCTAAATAGTTTATTAAGTATTTTAATACATCATATTATTTTCAACAATTTTTTATTTGTTAATTTATTTTTATATTTTTAATTACTTTAAGTACTGACGATCGGCGTTTTTCTTGAACTTTATTTTCATTTTCTTCTTGTGTTGTTGTTTCATTTTGTTCTTTATCTGTTTTCTGCAGAACAAAAATATTTACCACTTGAAATATAAAATAAATCGGCTATGTAAAAATTTTACAAAATTTGTTCATGGTTATTTTTAAGATGTTTTTAACCTGTGCTCTATGATTTAAGCATAATTATAAAAAAATAATAATTTTTAAAATAGTTTCTTTTCTATTCTGATAAATTTAACTGAGCAAGTACATCTTTATTTTTTTCGGATTGATAATTAATAATTGAGGTTCAAAGTTATATTCATTTTACCGATGTGATCTAAGGTAAGGATATTAAGTTTTATTTTATAAAAGTAAGGATAAGAGTAAAAGTAAATAAAATGACTACAAAATCAGCCATTTTTACCGAAAATTATATAATTTTTGGAATATTTAGCCGATAATTTCTAAAAATGTATTTTTCGTATAGTTTTCCTTTTTTATCTTAAAATAAATTGTATTAGCTTTAATTTGACGTAATTTTAAAAGGATCAGGTTTTTTCAGAACATTTACAAAAATAGAAAAAAATAATGTTGATATGATTTTACACTGTAAAAAAGTTATTAATTAAATTTTCAAAAAAGTGTGTCCACGGCAAAATTAATGTCAAGAGTGTTACTAATAAAAAATTCTCAATAATCCGTTAAGTTTTCAAAAATTAATTTCAGTATAAAATAAAAACTAAAAATATCATCTTTGATTGTTTTATAACAAATGTAATTTTTCTTTATTACTGAAATTGAAGGAAATTGCTTAAAACTATGGTACCGATGGCTTCAATTAGATACGTCAAATTGAAGCAATCTCAAAATGTATACGTTTCATAATATTTTAATGTATCGTTAAGCAAAATTGTTCCAGTAGGAGTAGAGTATTTTTGTGAATTGTACCAAAAAAAAAAAAAAAACGAGTATAACTAGTAGCTTCTCAACTACGAATTGAAGCTAAAATGAATTAAAAAGTATAATATTAAAAAAAGAAAAAGTACTTTTAAAATTGATGATCGTCTCTTTTCTTTTTCTTCTGTTGTAGATGTCATCTCGGTAGTCTTCTATAATAAAATAAAAACACAAATGATTCAAAAAAAACTTCATAATAGTTTAAATCTATGATTGAAAAGTATTACCTTTATGATAGAAGCCCTTCGTTTTTCTTCCGGAGGAGTATCTTCATTTTCTTCAGTTTCCACGGTTTTCTAGTAAAATAATACTAATTGAGTTAAATTGTGCTTACAGTTAGTTAATAAATACATAAAAGTATTTATATATATATATATACTTTAGTAGTTGTAACTGATGACTTTCTTTTTGTTGTTTTTTCTTTTGTTTCCTCTTTCTAAAAAAATTNCATTGAGTTAAATTGTGCTTACAGTTAGTTAATAAATACATAAAAGTATTTATATATATATATACTTTAGTAGTTGTAACTGATGACTTTCTTTTTGTTGTTTTTTCTTTTGTTTCCTCTTTCTAAAAAAATTATTAAGTATTAAAAATATGTACGACTATTGAAAACCATATAATAAGTATTTTACCTTTTCTTCTTCCTCGTCAACCTCCATTTTTTCTAGAGAAACAAAAATTATTATATGCAATATAAAATTAAAAAATTATTTGGCTTATTTAAACATGTTACCTGAGATATCAAGTTCAGCATATGATTCGTCACTTCCTAAAGTATTTCTGAATACAATTCGATATCTTCCACTGTGTGACAACTTAGCTTTGCTGATTACTAGGGTTGCTCGTTTACCATCAAAACTGATAGTTGTATCCGAAGACTCTCTTACTACAACCGAGTTTCTAATTTTCATTAAAACATAATTTAAAATTTATCAATACATAGTTTATACATATAAATATTTATTCGATCATTTAGACTACTTACTTGTACCATGTGACGGTGACTTTTTTGTCAATTTTCGTTAAAGTAGAAACAAATTCTACTCTTTCTCCTACTTCAGCGCTCTTTTTCAGAAATAAAAACATTTAAATTAGATTGTGGTAAAAGTTTTAATCCCATTTAGATATATTTCAAATTAGTTACTCACTAAAATCAATTTCAAATTCATGATTATATCAGCAACTTTATACATTGCGGTTATTCGACATAACTATTTTCCATCTTCGTAAGCGTTATATTAAAGTAAAATCTCATAGTATTATGTAATAAATGTCACAGCGATTGAACCAAAGTATCAGAAAGCACAACTTTATAATTTGTTAGATTAAGCGTAAGATATTATACAATATTATATTCTATATTGTAACATAAAAGAAATCATTTTAATATTTTCCATAAAGTGAGTTGTTACTAAATTTTGAATGATTGAATAGGAATTTAGCAGTGACCATATTGTGTTTTTCAAGTATGATGGAAAAATAATACTAATTGTCGATTTCTGGTCAAATATTGTAATATTTACGTAAAAAATAATAATTTATAAAAGAGGATTATGAGTTATAAAATAAATATAATTTTACAACAAAATAGTTTACCATAATAAATAAACGACACGTAGTTTTATGATTTTAAATAAAGTGAATAGTGTTATTTACAATTTCATTTGGTGTTGTCAACAATTTTACTTAATGTGATAGTGAATATTATTCAATAATTCAAATTGCATCGTAAAATATTTAAAAAATCAATTGAAAAAATTTGGAATTTTCGGGGTGAAGAACTGTTATTTTTTTTTTTAGCAAAATAGCATTAATAAACAACTATAAAGTAGAATTTAAAAAATAACCCTTTTATCGACAAATGTTAATTTTTAATATTCTGACATATGATCAGCAAGTAACATAACTATTATTTGTTAATGAAAAAGAACATGGCTTTTTTGTCTTTCTAAACTTTTTCGTGTATCTAGGCAACTATTTTTTTAATCTAATAGTTAAATAATTTGAATAAATTAAAATGATTTAAATAAACCACCATTGGTGGACCAATTGATAAACTAAATATAGCACTAAAATTAAATGGAAAATGACGCCACGGAAGGTTTAAAATCTAGAAATGAAGTATGTAATGAAGCGGAGAAAATGAGATACGTACCAAATAAAGATTTAGAATTCAAAAGCAGAATGATTCTAGATGAGTTAAAAAAAGATCAGGATAAAAATCCGGAAGTAGATGACTGGACAATGTACGATGGTCAGTATCCTCGTATAGGCCCAGCAATGTTTATCAGAAATAAGTCAAAAGATAACAAAGAATAGACGACAATAAATTTTTGTTCATTCATATAAAGAATATAAAAATATTTTTTCTAAAAATAACTTTTAATCCCTATGAACTTATTATAATATACATTATTTTTAATTTACCTGTTATTCAAACTGGTGAAATTTGATTTTATAATATTTTATATCTTAGTATAAGTGACTTAAGGTAAAAGGAAAATATAAGATTTTTAAAAAACTAGTTAAATATATCATTAAAATGTTGTTTAGGTTATGGATGGTTTAGTTTTTGATAATGAATTTAATGTTAATCATTAAAACACTCATTAAAACAACCATACGATTCTCGAAACAGATATACTCACAATCGGTTGAAGTTTTTGACCAATCGTTGGTTTTTCTTCTTTATCTTCAGTAACTTCTTTGACTTCTATTGGGGTAGATACAACTTCACCTTTTTCATTCTTGGCAATTAAATTATATAAACCCTTATCAGTAGAAGAAGCGTTGTTTACTTCCAACTGGACCAAATATTCTCCCTAGAATATATAAAATCATTAATGCACAAAAATTCTTACAAATAATTACATTAATTTTTATAAAATCGTATGTGCTAAATTTTTACATCTTTCACGCGTTCGATTTTTGTACGCCTTGAAACGTTGTCCTTAATAATAGTGTTGTCCTTCTTCCAGGTGCATTGGGGTTCAAATATGGACTGGATGCGACACTCAATGACAACGTTTTTAGTTTTTGATATCGTGACAACACGTGGGACTTCTTTGATCACAGGTATTACTAAAAATAATATTAGTAACAATATTAGGTTAATACAAAAATATTAGTTGTATATCGAAATTAACGTTTACATTACTCACTTTCAATATTGAGTGTTAAATTTGCATTCAGTTCACCATTCCCGTTTTTTATACTACATTTGTACAAACCAGTATCTTCCTTGCCTGGGTTCTGAGATAAATTCAGTCATCACATTATAGTATAAGTTTAAAGAGTTCAATAATATAAATTTTGATAATATAGTATTATAATAAACAAATACCTTAAGTTCTAAACAGATGTAATAAGAACCAGATTTTTCTTCAATTCTCCATGACAGTTTTGAACTTTGACATAGTACTTTGCCATCATGATACCACACTACGTCTGGTTTAGGATTAGCTTTTACCGTACAATCCATTACTATAAGTTTTCCATTTTCTTTTGATTGTATCCTAGGTTTCACCAAAAATGTTGGTGGATCACCTTCTGGTTCTGGTTCAGTCTCGATATTCAAATTCAAATTGGCATTACTTTCACCATGTTCATTTTGAACATTACACCTATAGGTACCACTATCAGGGCCAATTGGATCCTATATACACATATTTTTTTATAAATTATTGACAAAAATTTGATGAATTTTTACTTTTATAAGAAGAAGGACTTCATAAGTATTGTCCTCTCCATTCAGTTGCATTTTAATTTTTGATGTCTCGGTTACAACTTTAGTACCTTTGTACCATGTAACTTTGGGTTTAGGGTTAGCTGTACATTTACATCTGAGCGTTATAAGTGTTCCAGCTTCATTAGGAATAATTCTAGGTTTTTCGATAAACGATGGTGCCATCCCAGAACCTGCATCGCTACCTGGAATCATAATTGAAACAAAATATGTTAAATGTTTTAAATAATTATGTGTTGCCAAATATGTAAAAAACAACATTCACTACCTACCGAACAACTGTTCTATAAATAATTCATAGTACATAAATGTATTAAATATGATAAAAAATTATAAATAATTTAAGTATAAATCATTGGTTTGTTATATAATAGCATGCGCAGGGTATTTAAGTGTAGAATGGGCAAATTTAGGTTCAATATTTGATTTGATGTAGCATGGAGCTTGGTGCAAAACTTTTGATGCAAAACTTTTTTTTTGAGGGAGCGGCATAACTACCTTGGAAGTTTAATGATATATTTGCGTTGCTTTCGCCATACAAGTTGCAAGCGTTACAGCGATAATTTCCACCGTCTTCTCTTGTTGGGTTTGTGATTTCTAATCTAAGTAAAAACAGATCTTTGCCAACTATCTTTTTTGACATTTTAATTTTTTCGGAATCCGACATAAGTTTTGTACTATGAAACCAATTAATTTCAGGAATAGGATTTGCTTCTAATTCACATTCCATTACTAGAACATCACCTTCTTGATGAATTATTGGCTTTTTTGGAAATCTTGGTTGTTTTCCTTCTGGTAACCTATTGTATAAAATGTCAATATATTATTAAAGTTTTCGTAGGTTTTTTTATACAAATTTAATCTTAAATTAAATCTTCCATCCTATTATAAAAATAATAAAAAAAAATTAATTAGATAATTGAAAATTAATTTGGGCGAAATTATTTCCTGGTAAATAAACGAAGAAATGAATAACTATATAATATACTATATTATGACTTTTACCTGATTTGATTTTAATTAAATTTTATTAGCGTATTTTAAGTGTTGAAACTTTGGTTAAGGGTCGATTATTTTTTTAGTAATACTTGTTTTTTTTAATTATCTATCAGTATTCAATTTCAAGACTAGTGTTTAAAATGAGGATTCTATTCTGTATTATGATGACTAGGACTGTCAATAAAAAATGTTTGTGCAATTCAAAAATTTAAATGTTTGAAATATCCACCCAAATATTAACGTGTCAATGAAATATTTAAAAATTATAATTATTTAATAATTTAATTATAATTATTATTTATTTATTGCTTACTTGAGATCACCAGCTTCTTCATTTAGATTCAGTATTGCTGTAGCGATACATTTACCATGAACGTTGATCGCTTCGGCTCTATACTCACCACTATCTGATACAGTAGGGTTTTTTATTTCCATCTTAGCCAAATAGTACAGTTTTTGATCTACATCAAGCGAAGAGGAATACCTATTACCCGATATGGATTTTTTGCCATAATACCTGTAAATAATAATATATATATAAATAAATTTTAAACAGTTCTTTAATTATTAAAAATTAATTACTTACCATTTGACTAATGGTTTTGGATCTCCTACCAGACGACATTCTATAATAACAATACTACCATCTTCAGACTGTGTAATTATGGGTCTTTCGGTAAATGTGGGCTTAATCCCGTCATCAGGTACAGGGGCTTCGTCACCTAAAGCGAAAACTCACTAAAAGCCTAAAGCTCGACACGGTTTTACTTAATATTTAAAAAAACATCACTATAATAGTTTTAAATATAGTTGATGATTCTACTTAAATAGACTTAGTACTATTCTTACACTGATAATAAAAATCATCTTCCTAAAACTTATATTTTAAATATTTCCGACATCATTGTTCAAATAATGAAGGGTTTACTAATAAGGGAATTGCGCGCTATTTATATATTTACATACATTATTAATATATAATAAGAACACAGCAAACTATAAATCATTCAAAATAATTCGAGATGAACATTAAGCCTCTGATACACGCACAAACAAATATATTAAGTATAAACTAAAATAGAGATAAAAAAATAAATTCAAGATAATTGACACATCAAAAGCTAACACAATTTTTAATCATATAATAAGTGTAACTATTATTATTATTTTTTAATAATCCCAATTTTGTCATCTATATTTCACTTTAAATTCTAATTAATTTTTTCATAACAAAATAATAACCTAAAGATTTGAATTAATATAGGTTTTTAATTTTGGAGGTAATTCAATATTAACTAAATTTAAAAAGTGAAGAAAATTTATAATTAAATAAATTAATGTAAAAATAACATCAATTATTTGACAAAAAACTTGTAACATTTTTAATTTCTAGATTCACTACACACACAGACATACATAAATATAAATATACTTATTTAAAATACACTACAATTTGAGTAAACCACAAAAGAAAACATTTATTCATAACATTTAATGCATTCTAGATACTTTTTAATAAAGTTTAAAGAGCATTTAAGAAGGATACTTTCTATAAGATTATAACGAAAACAAACTACAGAAAAAACATATTTACAAGTCAATTTTTTGTCAAAGAAAATAAATAAAATTGTCAAATTACATAAAAATTTTTTTTCAATTTGTACTACATAAACAATAAACAGACAAATCTTGGAACAGTATATACATGACTACGTATCAAAAAGAAAAATAAATAAAACAATATATATATAAATGAATACTAACTGTCAAAATTAAGACTGATTGTAGCGTTGCTTTCGCCCAACTCGTTTTTTGCTGTAACTTTATATTTTCCAGCATCTTCGACGGTGACATTTCTTATTTCTAGAGTTGCTAAATAGGAATGTCCATCTTTATCTACATATTGCTGTATATAAAATGTTTTATTTTAATTTAATGATCAAAATTTTGTATATAAATTAAATTATATTAAGCTAAATGCATTTTATATTTACCTTATGTCTAGGTGAATCAATTACGGGTTTTCCGTCATGAACCCAAGAAATTATTGGACGTGGATCTGACTGTATAGTGCACTCAAATAAAAGTCTTTTTCCTTCGTCTTCTTGCTTAATAGATGGTTTTTTAGAAAATGTTGGTGCTATACCATCAATTTGTCTATGAATAAAATTAAAATAATATATAAATACAATAATAATAATAGTAAATTTATTTCATCAAATATAATAAAAAATTACAAACAACATAAATAACATAAAAATAAAAGATCTGATACCACACCAATAAACATAACTCGTGTTTGGAGTGGATGAATTAAATATTTCAATATACTTAAAATATAATTTTTGATATTTATAAAATAAATTTTAGTTTATAATGACAGTAAACTTACAATAAAATAAAATAGTAAGTAACTATGAAAGAAAGAGAAAGAAATATATATATGATAATCTAAATATTAATGTGATCAATAATTAAAGTTTTTTGCCTTCTCAAATACGAAAACATTACATTAATATGATATCTGAATTGAAATAAAAATTTTATTTTATAATAACTAACAATAATTTGCAATATTGTTACTCACTTTTCATGAGGTTCATCAGCAGCTGAAAACCAAACATTTTAAGAATTAGTAAAATAAGTTTAAAAATTAATAAAATTAAAGGTTGGATTAAAATAATTCTTTTTTTGTTTAACGTTACCTTATCTAATTTTAATGTTTTTTTTTTTTGTATAAACTTTAATGTTATTCGGAATTTAAACGTTATACAATTTTTATGCTTAATATTAAAACGTTGTTAAATTTTTTTCGATTATTGTTTTAACTTTATTAAGTTTTGGAATTTAACGTTATAAGGTTTCTAAACATAATTCTCTGCCAAAAACAGTTTTTTTATGGTAAAATGACTATTTTTTTTTACGTGCTTTTTTTTAAATATAACGTTTGAAAAAAATTTATTTATGTTTTAATAAAAATTATTCTATGTTTTAAGTTGTATTATGTTTAATGATATTTTACGTTAATTGATATCACATATTTTTGGTTTTATGATTATATTATGACAAAAATTTTCGTTTAAAAACTATAAAAACGTTTTTCATAATGTTTTCTTTTTGAATAAAATTCTAACTTTTATTATCTTACAACTAAGTAAATTTCTATATTACTTTAAAATTTGTAAGTTAAAGTAAATAACAAAATTTTATTTATCCAGATTTTCAACTATAAATATTCTATAATAAAATAGGATGAATGTGAAGGTTTACACCGATGATAAAAATAAACGGATAGAACTCATAAATTTTTAGGCTAGTTTTTTTCCTATAGAATATTATATAATAAAAGATAAAATCGTCAATTGAAATAATAAATATACATAAAGAGTATACTCATATAATTTTATAAGTAAAACCTCCTCATATAGTTAATAATTTTCAACTATATCTTATAGCTAATCTCAAGCATAAATTATGTAGACTATTTTTAAAATATTTTTCTTATGAAATTTTGGCCTTAACGATATTTTTAAGTTATGTGTTATGATAGTAATCGTTAATAGGAATATTTAAAGTAAACAATTATATTATTCTTATCTATTGGAAATAAAATTAGTTTATAACTATAATAATTTTAATAACTAAAATGCTGAGAAAACACATATTTCTATGTGGTTCAACGATTTGTAAATCGGTCCAAAATATCCGTCAATGGAGCATTAAGCAAAATGAAATGGAAATGTTTAAAAAAAGATTAGTGGCCGAAGACGTTTGTCGTGAGTTTAATCTAACTACTGATCAGCTGACAGACGTATTTCGCCGCATGACTACATCAATAAATTTAGGGTTGTCCGAAAAAACGCGAGAGAAATCGACAGTAAAATGTTGGAATACGTATATTGATACCATGCCAACTGGCCGTGAAATAGGGACATTTTTGATAATAGAATTAGGAAGTTTGGAAAATCGGAATATATTATTAACCCTATCAGAAAATAATCAAACTGGATTATATCAACGAGTATTAAACAAACATTCTTCTTCATACTCAGTAGAAAGTTATTTAAAAACTGCTCCCGGGTCTCACTTGTTTGATAATGCTGCTGAACGCATGGCAAATTTTGCCAAGCGCCTTGACGTTTATGATGCAGGGCTTCCATTAATTTTGACATTCAGTTTTCCCACTGAACATACTACCTTAGACTCAGCCACTTTGGTCGAATGGACTAAAGGTTTCAAGTGTCCTGATGTAGTGGGTAAAGATGTAGTAGCTATAATGCGTGATTCTCTTCGACGGACTGGGATAGTTACAGATGTCGTTGGAGTGTTAAACAATTCTACGGGAACTCTTATGTCGAGCTTAGTAGATGAGCCTGCTACTCGAATGGCAGTAATTATAAGTAATGGTAGTAACTGTTGTTATGTTGAAAAATCCATCAATATTGATTCGCTTCAAGGGACGTCAAATTCAGAAAATTGTTTAATAAATACAGAGTGGGGAGCTTTAGGAGAAAATGGTTCACTTAATGATATCTTAACCAAATATGACATACATTTGAATAAACATTCGGTTAGACCTGGGAAGCAAATTTTCGAAAAAATGGTCTCAGGCAATTATTTTTATAAATATAATAAAAAGTTATAACATTATTTATAACTATTTTTAAAAGACTGAAATATAAAATAATAAGTTTAATTCATTCACATTGTAAAAAAATTTAAAAAAAAGAGCTTTTCATGAAATTTTCCCATAAGCTAATAATATTTATTTAAAAGAGATTTTTCGATGTATTAGGTATGTATATGGGAGAGCTAGTACGATTAGTGACTTTAAAAATGGCTAAAGAAAAAGCTTTGTTTAATGGTAATATTAACCGGTTCATGGAAACTCCATACAAATTGAAATTTGAGCATTTGTCAATGGCAGAATCAAATAGATCGGGTATATTCCATGGAGCTCGAGATGTGTTAGTCGATATTTTAGGAGTAATCAATCCATCAGAAATAGATTGTGCACTTTTTCGTTACGCTTGTGAATGTGTCACCGTACGATCCGCTCATTTGGTTGCTGCCGGTGTGGCCAGCCTTTTACAGCGTTTAAAGCGAACAGAACGGACTGTCATTGCAGTTGATGGAAATGTATTTAGAAAACATCATAAGTACTCTCAAATAATGGGAAGAAAAGCTAAACAGTTGACTGAAGGACTTTTCCCATTTGACCTACGACTCCCTGAACATGGAAGTGTATTAGGAGCAGCTATTGTTGCTGCTAATTTACCATTAAATAAAAAAATGAATAGGATAACATAATTTTTTTTTCTAAAATCAAACGGACCTCTCTACAAAATGTTGAAATAATGTATATATTTTTCTATCAATACAATAGATTAAAACTTATATTTGGCTTTAATAGAAATTTTAATGTACATATTTAATTACAAAAGTTTTGTTAGTACAAATTATTGTAATTGTATTTGCTAAAAATTAAATTGAAGGTCAAAATTGAATTTTACATCATAAGACGTATTTATAACAATTAAAAAATTGTGTTAAATGTTGAATACTATAAAAAATAAATTTTATCGTTTTATTATTTTTTATCCTAAAAATAACAATGTTTTAATTTTAACAAAATTAACATATTAAACAATTTTAATTTCTTTTCTAGCTTTGTAAAAATATCGTTAATCCTCAGTTTTCTTCATAAACTTTATTGAAATAAATTATTAAAAAAAACCCAGCACAGGGGAGTCGCGGCACAGTCGTGACGTGGCATAGATGGATCAAGTATCAATGATATCTGACAGTGATTAAAATCACTATCAAAAAAAAAACGCTTCGATGCAAATCTTTAGATAGTGTTTAATCTTAAAAAATTGGTGGATTATATCAAAAGCTACATGATCTGCTAGTTCCTTATTAACATCCTGATTAAGATAAAGTATGTCGAATGAAAAAGGGATTATTAAAAAATATTATTTCTCATAAAATATTGTATTGATCAATACACTTTTCAATAAATTATAGCATTATAAAGTTAAAAATGTAAAAAATAAAATTGAGAATTTTCACAAAATAATAGCATTTGGTAGCCATTTTCACCATGAAGACAAAATAAAGTCCGAAATTTTTTTTTTACATAATAAAGTAGATTACATTAGCTTTAATTTAAGATATATATAAAAGTGTCAGACTTTCCGGAACACTTTCAAAATTTAAGTTGAAAAAGTAAATTTTTTGTGAAAAAGTTGTCATTTTGAATCCCCCCCTGTAGGCTGGTAAAAAGTCAGATTTATAAAAAAAATATACCAAATGATAGGTAAAGACATCATGCATCTACAAAAAAAAGAATTATATTGATCCATACATCTTTCGAGAAGTTATAGCATTATAAAGTTAAAAATATAAAAAAGAATTTTTTTACAAAAATCGTATTTTTTTTATTAAGTTTAATGTCTGTTTTCACCATGAAGATAAAATAAAGTCCGAAATTTTTTTTTACCATTATAAAGTATATTACATTAGCTTTAATTTAAGATATATATAAAAGTGTCAGACCTTCCGGAACACTTTCAAAAGTTACGTTGAAAAAGTTCTACTTTCTATATGCATTTTTATGTTTTGAATCCCCCCTGTATTTAGGGAAATGGTCCGATTTAAAAAAACAGTATGTCGAATGAAAGATCTATATAAATACTACTTCTCATAAAAAAATTGTAATGATTCATACATTTTTCAAAAAGTTATAGCATAATAAAGTTAAAAATGGAAAATACAAAATCGAAAATTTTCACACAAAAATAGCATTCGGTAGCCATTTTCACCATGAAGATAAGATAAAGTCCGAAATTTTTTTTTTTCATGATAAAGCATATTACATTAGCTTTAATTTAAGATATATATAAAAGTGTCAGACCTTCCGGAACATTTTCAAAATTTAAGTTAAAAAAATTAATTTTTTGTGAAAAAGTTGTCATTTTAAATCCCCCCTTGTGGGCAGGTTAAGGGTTAAATTTATGAAAAAAATATACCAAATGAAAGGTAATGATATTATGCATCTATATAAAAAAGAATTATATTGATATGTTCATTTTTGAAAAAGTTATGGCACTTTTAAGTAAAAAAAATTGAAAAAATTTCGAAAATTAGCGATTTTTAAATTTGTAATTTTTTTGAAGGTTTCCCCCATTTACGGGGAACGAGGGAATTTTTTTCAATTTTTAAGGGTAATGTCTTCGACTAGATACGATTTGTGATCTTTTGACGTATCATTGAAAGAAATCGGTTCGGTGAGAGCTGAGAAAAAGTGGTAACAGACACAAAAAAAAAAAAAACACATCTTAGTAAAACCAATACCTTCTCAGCTTCGCATCGAAACTAAAATAATCATGTATTTAATTTATAAATTTAAATGTGTCATTTGTATTACATGTAATATGCTTAAAAAGAATCATTATAAATGATGATTTGGTGTAATCATTTTATTTTAGTACATAAGTTCAATTATTTAATTGAAGCTAGTATAATATATTAATCACTACGATAATGTCACACTGTGAGTGCAAAAGGGTGTGTTACTTTGTTTTTAGTGTATATATAAAGTTCAAGTTAAAATTATATAAGTTATTTGCATATTTAGATAAAGAATAATACATTATATTGAAGTATATAAAAATATCATAAATTTTAAAATAATTTCATTCAAAGTACGATAAGCTAAGATGACCATTAATTAGTCATATTTTACTAAGCATTTAGTGAAAGATAACAAAATTGATTATATTTTATAACAAATATTTCACTGATATTTAAAGAATTTTGGTAAATTTCATGTGTTACTCACGGCTAAAATTCAGGTTTATTGATGCTGATACTTCTCCCATCTTATTTTTAGCTTTAACTTTGTATAGACCGGCATCCATTTCTACGACGTCTTCTAGTTCCAATATTACAGTATACGTATTGGTTCCTATGCTCTGGATTTTCATAATAGTCCTATGATCTTCCGTTAATTGGGTCTCTCCCCGAAACCATGATATTTCCGGTTTGGGACATCCTAATAATCTGCACTCAAAAATTAATCGATTACCCTCATCTTCTTGACGCAGTTGAGGTTTCTGCGTAAAGCTCGGAGCAAAATCATCGGCAACGCCCATGGCCTCCTTTTTCTATTTGCAATACAATGCTGTTTTTTTTATCTCAATTGCCGCAAACAAATTTGTTTAATTTTTTTAGTTTTAATAGATTAATTTCATACTTGGATTTATATCCTACATAATAAATATCTGAAAAAGAAATACAGGATATTGATTATAAATCATTATAATTAATTTAGTACTTTAAATAACATAAAATTAAATCAAATTTATTCATTATGCTTTCTCCTGCCATTATCTGTTAGCTATTTTCTAAAAAATGATTTATCAGTTTTGTCAATTTTACAGTAGATTAAATGCATATTAATGGTAGGTTTGGTTTGGTTTGATTAATCTAACCAAAGCTATCTTATGCAAATTTTAATTTTTGAAGATAAATATCATGCCTTCTCGATTAAATATTTTTTGGATTAATTAATCAAAAAAAGTAATAAATAATTAACGTTCTAGAAAAGTTATAATATAAGATCACTTTTTTTTTAAAAATCTCACGTTTATAAAATTTTATGCAATAGGCACAATTGTTATGTATAGGCGCAAAATAGACATTTTTAATAATTAATAATAAAGTTATAGTTTTTTAGTTTCACACTTATAGTTGTACTTAAACGTCATTTTTAGTATACTAAACGGATTATTTACCAATATAAAATTTTAAAAAAGTCCCCTAGAACAAAAAAAAATATTATAAATTTCTACATTTTAATATAAAATAAATTAGTTTTATCTTTTAAAAATATAGTTTTCAAAAGTAGTAAAGAAATTAAATAATTTGTTTTATATATATATTTAGTTTTCCAAAAGTAAAATATATATTTTATAAATCTTTTTTTCTTGGTCTTAATCCCAACTACTTGGGGTCGGTTATACATTAGATATATTATATGCATATTTTATAAATATTTAAAAAAATATCGCTCATGCTACTAAATTGGTATCATCAAACCAAAATACTTTTGTAGGTTATTTAGGTTATTTGTAGGTATTTAGAATTTATTTAGTATAACAAAAACACTAAATTTTTTTAATTACTTATAGATAATTCTATTTGTCTTATTTTTAAGGTAGTAAAAATACCAATAAGTTGATAAATATCTTTACGGGATTTATGTTGACCGCGACTAGATAATGTTGTTTATCATCGTTAATATATTATATTTGACTAATATAATATACAGCCAAATTTATAGAAGAACATTAAGAAGAAAATTCATTTAGGGTAGTACTACGCATTTTGTTTAGGGAATCATACGCACTTATTAAACATGGATTGTCATAGCTAATAATACTTCATATTATGAGTTGAAAATTATTTGATAATAATAATAAAAGTAAAAATTTAAAGAAATAATTTATAATTTTCCTTTATCTTGGGTTGAACCACACCAAGAAATCTTTATATACCAAAAGGAGTGAAAAGTACTTTGTTTCGTAAATTTTCTATGATGTTCTGTTCTATCAAATAGATCTATTTGATTGATGATTCTAAACTAAAAACATCACTGCGCTTATTTTTTAACTTAATAAAACATGAATATTTTCTTTTTTGAAAAAAATAAAATTTTGGAAAAAATACTTCAATTAAAAATCTATAAATTACTAAGTTCCCAACATTTGGACCAATACTTTGGATGTTATTATAATTTTAAATTAAAAACTAGAGTTGAAGCAAAGATGCTGTTATTTTTACCATTAATTATATTTCAGCCGCAATTCTACCAGCTAAGTACAAAAATATGAATATTTTCAAACTACTGATCCAAAAATTGGCTACCAACCAGTATCTAATTTTCTATTTTATACAAATGTTTAATACAAATGTTGACAATAAAAAGAATTAAATTGACATTCCCATAATATATAAGGGATGGACCTAAAAATTATTTTATAATAATAGATTAAAATACACGTAACTAACAAATTACAAAAAAAAAAATATTATTTTAAGAGAAATTTATTTAGCTAGCGTTAAAAGAATCGCTTTGTCTATAAACACATTTTTTTTTTTTTTTTTTTTTAA